CACCACTAGGGGGAGCAGCGCCAATGGCTGCTTTGTGTCATCTTCACCTATAGATTTTTGACGTTTTACTTTGATTATATCATTGTTGTTGTTGTTGTTATTTGTAAAGCGCCAACCTATTCCTTAGCGCTGTACAACAGGTGGACGAACAGACATGCATTTGCAACAAGACGAGCTGGACGCACAGGAACAGAGGGTGCGGAGAGCCACGCTCAAATGAGCTTACATTCTAGAGCAAGCATGTCAAACTCAGAGTCTAGCATGGGCCACATTAACAAGGTTTAAGTTTATGTGGGCCGTAAAAAAAACAAACCTTAAAGGACCACTATAGTCACCTAGACCACTTCAGCTTAAAGGACCACTCTAGGCACCCAGACCACTTCAGCTTAATGAAGTGGTCTGGGTGCCAGGTCCCTCTAGGATTAACCCTTTTTTTAATAAACATAGCAGTTTCAGAGAAACTGCTATGTTTATACTGAGGGTTAATCCAGCCTCCAAGCCTCTAGTGGCTGTCTCATTGACAGCCGCTAGAGGCGCTTGCGTGCTTCTCACTGTGAAAATCACAGTGAGAGCACGCAAGCGTCCATAGGAAAGCATTGTAAAGGTGAAGCTCAGCATGCGCATTCAGCTGATGACGTCGCGAGCAAGGAGGAGTACAGCTCCCCGCCCGGCGCTGGAGAAAGGTAAGTGTTTAACCCCTTCCTCTCTCCAGAGCCCGGCGGGAGGGGGTCCCTGAGGGTGGGGGCACCCTCAGGGCACTATAGTGCCAGGAAAACGAGTATGTTTTCCTGGCACTATAGTGGTCCTTTAATGAAATGGTCTGGGTGCCAGGTCCATCTAGGGTTAATTGGAAAAAGAGAAGAAAATCAGCGCTAAATTGGCACTATAAAATTATAAGAAAAGGCTGCACTCCTCAAAAGGGGAGTCCCTAATAATCCCCTAATGGTAACAGACAACAAAAACAAACAAAGAAATAAGGGTGCGCCTAAAGTATATGAAAAACAGTATATACTTAAAATTATGATAAAATATAAAGATAAAATAATCAAATAAAATATAGGATAAAATAAATAATAAACAGTAGTCCAAAAAGGGTGAACTTATCACAGTCCGTAAAGGTAGGTTCCACGTGTAAAGAAGTATTCTTAGGGTGTAGATGGGATCATGTCTTCACAATCAAATGTTGGAAGTTCAGCATATGTAGGAAGAAGAATAAAACAAGACTCCAATGGCACAGTAAATCGGTGTATAAAATAAATATAAAAAATATAAAATCAGTCTTACACTTTTCGGAGCTAGGATCAGCTCTGATATTGCTCGCGTAAAGTGGAATGATCCCCACTTCAAGGATATGTGGAGTAGATTTTGATAGCTGAGTATCTGGCGTGGATTCAGCGTTCAAATTGATATTGTGTGACCCAGAAGGAGAGAATAAAATATATAGTGCTCACTGTATATAATCCAAAATTAAAAGGATGTAAAGTATACTACTCACGTAATGTAGAGCAGGCTCAAAACTGCTCGGTGTAAGCGCTCGGGTGGTATAATCCCCACCTATGGATTCTTTGCACTTCTTGTAGAGTATGCAATATACGTAAAATCAGGTAAAAAGGAAATATACGTAAAATCAGGTAAAAAAGAAAGGAAATGGCAATAAAGTGTTTTATGCCAATAAAATATCTTTATTATAAAATTAGGAACAATATCTAAACGCGTTTCACCTTAGCAGGCTTCTTCAAGTAGATAATAGTAAAGAGGGCTCTGCTGCCAGTATGCTACTCCGGAGTCCGGCCTCTGGTATACCCCAAATGGCGCGGTCCGCACCCTGTGCCAAATCTGATCCTCCCGCTACTTCTTGAAACCCTGTGAAGGTGGAGCACGTCGATGACATGGCGTTGCGTGCCTCCATGCGCCTCCAGGTACTCTACTAGCCAATGCAACACTGACCAAAACACACTCACTCACTGACAGACACACAGACACTCACTGACAGACACACACACTGACACACACAGACAGACACTGACAGACACACACACACAGGCATACACTCACTCACTGACAGACACAGACAGACACACACTCACTGACATACACACACACACTCACTGACATACACACATTTACACATTCTTGCACTCACATAATTTTATTTATTGCTCCCTACCTTTGGGAGCTGGTGCTGTGGTGGAATCTCGGTAAAAATAAATTTAGTAGGCCGAGATTACCACGTGGCATGTGTACGTGCATATGCTGACGTATCGATCAGTTGGTTGCACGAGGCAAGATACGATCAGTAGTGTACGGAGCATGTGCAAGAATACAGGATGTAGTATTCCCCTCCTCCATTGTGCTGGACAAGCCATGCGGTCAAGCAGGAAGTTAATTCTTATTTGTAATGATTGGTCAAGAGAATGTGCGGGTGGAGCTTAATATGGGAGGAGTTATGTGCCTATATAGGGAGCCTGCACTATTGTTCAGGGCTCAGAACTTGCTGTATTTTTGGTGACATTAGTCCCTCTGAGTCCCGATCGGTGATCCAATAAAGAATCTCTTCCTTCCTGAAGAAACCTGTGTCCATCCCTCTGTGCTTTGCTTCCGTCAGTTTCTCCGGTATCATTTGGTGCATTGGCCGGGAAGCTCATCGTTCAACGGTAGCTGAGAGGCAGAGGCGTGAGACGGTCTATCTTTGCCCACGTTCTCTACGGCTGCACCCCTGAACTTCTGCGTGGACCTCCCTTCGTCTCGGCGCCACTGGTCTGTTGTCCAGGAGATCATCGGCCTCTACGTAAGAAGTGCTGGGGTGTCCCCGTCGATGAGTGTGAACTCAGGTTCAGGAACGAGGAGGTAAGACAACTGCTGTTTTAGACGGCAGACCCACTAGGGGTATACCGATTGTGCGGTAGGCCCAAAAGGGGTTTAAATCTGTGTATGGAATCTGCCCCCTCTGTCGGAGGGAAGGAGCGAAGGCGCACCGCTCGATCGAACGCTCTTTAGTAAGACCGCTTTGATCTGGTTAGTCAGGCGGGGTCCTGTGTAAATAGCCCTAGCCGGACACCGGTGTCTTGTCTAGACTAGCGTTCTAGGGTGTATATTACGTTCGCTAGGTCGGAGGGACCGGGAGACTAAGCGGCGCCTGTGTAAATTCGGTTCGCTAGCTCTCAACCTATCTTGGCTAAGTGGGAAGGCGTGTAAATTTGGAACCCACTAGACTTTTGATAGAGTAAATAGACTAGAAGGGCAATTTTGTAAATTTCGCCCTCTAGTTCGCTATATGTGGTGTTTGGGCAGTGTGGCTAACCAAAACGGGTGTATATAGTTTTAGGTAGTCCATTCAAGGTACTGGCCAATAGTTTAGTTGGGATTGTAAATGTGTTAAAGATTGTTAGTAAAGTGTATATCTTGTTAGATAGCGCGAGCTCAGCCGTCTAGCGAGAGTGTTAATAGTGTGTTGCTGTATCATAGTGCACGGTACCATAACCCTGTATATTTACTGACACTGTATATAAGTACTAATCATTGTCGTCTATTGCATGTTTAACACCGTAACCACTAATAATTGTATTGTGACCTTAAATTGTGCTTTGACCTATGCTAACCGTACTGTAACCGATACTAGTAAAAGACGATGTTACTGGGGTGTGTTATAGACGGGTAATTCATATATAGAGAATTATAGCGTGGGTGACTGTATAGTTTCGCCAAAGGGCATAATATTGATTATTTAGTGACTGGTGTAACAGCTGTGTGTGTACGGGAATTCCCTGAGTGATTATTGTGTTATTGTGTACGTTTCACTCGGTAACTGTACCACGTGGTGCTGTTGCCAGAGGAAACGGGTGTGACTGTTGAATAAGAACGCGTGCATAGTATTCGTTGTCAACGACGTTCCATTGATAAGTATGGGCGCGTCAGAGTCAACGATTTCGGATCCCTTAGGTTGTATGGTAAAGAATTTTAAAAAGGGATTCAAAACATGTGATTTTGGGGTTAAAATGTCTCCTGTACGTTTGGTCACTTTGTGCACTAGGGAGTGGCCTATTTTGGTTGCGGCATGGCCGCCGCGTGGCAGTTTGGATCCAACCCTGGTACAGCGTGTACACGTGGCTGTGTCAGGTAGGCCTGAACTTTACGGACAGTTTCCATACATTGATTGTTGGGGGCAGGCCGTAAACGACTCGCCAAAATGGATCCGGATATGCCACGAGGAGCAATGTCGCCTCATGGTGGCCAGGACTTGTTTGTCCACTAGGACTGGTGTTAGGCCCATTTTGGACACGCCCCCTGAGTCCGAGATCCCTTTGCCGCCTCCTTACTTTCCTTTAAGAGGAAGTGACGCGAATGCAGGAAGCTCTGCACCCCTTCCCCTATTGCCCCCATCCACTTCCGCTTCCTCCTCCAGTACAGAATCCACCCCCCCTCGTATTAAAACTCCCCTTCCGGAACCAGGACCAACCCCCATTAGATTTGAATATCCTGATTTGGCGCCACTTCAAACTTCCGGTCAAGCTTCTTCTAGCTCGGCTCGGAGTATACTATTCACTAACTTTTCCCAAAATCAAGTTCCCACATCCTCATGCCCTATTACCTCTCGACCGGAACCTTTAACTGACGCCCCTCCACGTAGCCCCATACTAACCCGACAACTGACCGGTACCCAACAATTAAAACATTATCAGATGCCTCTTCGTCTGAATCCTGGGTCAGCCTATATCGATGCCGCAGGTCAAATGGCACATGCTGACCCAGTCTTCGTATATGTCCCGTTCACGACTACCGATCTCTTGAATTGAAAGACCCACAATTCCTCGTACACTGAGAAACCACAAGCTATGACCGATCTGTTCACCTCGATAGTTCAGACACATAACCCGACATGGGCTGATTGCCAGCAGTTATTAATGACATTGTTCAATAATGAGGAAAGGACAAGGATTAACCAAGCGGCCATTAAGGCGCTAGAGGAGAGAGCTATCATATTCCGCAGAAGGCTAAGAAGA